ACGGCCTGTTAATCGATGTCCAAAGAAGAAGAGAGGAGAGACCTCATATATAATAACATTGTTCTCCTGCTTATGGTGGAAAGCCACATTGTGTTTAACCAAATTATGTATTACGAGCCAAGCAGAAAAAATTTTTGGGGAAACTCAAGCTGCAGTGAAATAATTTTGGCAACAATTTGTAAAGATTTCACACAAATAATTTTCATTTCGATCAATGTTTTTTGGCCCTTTGGTGTGATTTTATATGTCTGATATAGGTTGTGTGCCCTTCTCACTCTGTACGGCAGCAAAACTGACATCTCTGCTGAAGGTTGGCAGTTTATTGTTTCCTCACTACAGGCAATGAATCATACTTTATGGACGTAAACCTGCAACTTTTTCCTAGACGTTAGGTTCCTGTCTCCGCTTTTGGCACCCATTCAATCCTCAGCGCGACCCCTCATAGCAATGCTTCTCCCATTATTTCACGTAATGTTTTCTGCTCCTCTAAGTGCCTATCAGCTTGCATTCTTTGTGTCCATGTGCAAGCGTTCATGCAAATATCTGTGGCTCCAGAGGAGAAAAGAAAATATGGGGAAACCTCAAGAGGCAAAAACCCTTGTTCAGGGCTCGTACACTGTTTGGAGACTGCCAAGCCAAAGTTTAATTTCTTGCCCTGTTATGAGAGAGTCTGCCCGGCTCCACAGGGTTTGACAATATTTGACAATATACAGGCGGATGAGCTGCCTAATCCCTGAGCTGGCTGTTTGGATTGGCAGAAGTCGCTTTGCAGGTAGAAGCGGCGCGATCGTGTAAGCAGTCAAAGAACACAGTCTGGAGTTTAAACACGCTATCGAGCATTTCACATCCGCTGTGTTGTTCTTGCCTTGGTGGACTCGAGTTTCTTGGGAGGTAATAAAGGTGCTGAGGCCAACACGAAAGCCAATGTAAACTCTCAGCCTAATTTGAAGCTTTTTAAACCCAAATGTCTCCAGTTTGAATCCCCAGACAGGCTGGAAAAATCGGATTGGGCTGAAGGGAGTTAAGACGCGCTTCTCCTCTCCATCAACAATCCCTGATGAGCCACTGAGGGCAGTCAACCACCCGGCAGACCTGCTACAGTATGAGAACCATTTCTGACCTCCAGAGTGAGCAAAGTTTTTCCAAAGTGATGACATCAAGAAGCATTTTGGGGTTATGGTTAAGGTTAGGGTTAGGGCTGTGGTATCTGCTGTAGAAGGGGGTCAGGCTGATGTATTGTAAATCCAAGGCATCGTGAGAGAATTAACAAGAGAGGCAAGGAGACAAAACAAATTCCTGCTGCATAAATGTTTATTTTTTTTTATTTATTTGCGTAGCCAGATATCACATAAATGTCTCAGTGGGCTTTACAGGCCCACAACGGCAACTCTTTCCAGCCCAGAAATGAATTCCTGCACACAAATAACTGTTTTATTGAACCAAAACTGCATTTTAAACCATTGACAGTATATAAGCCAACATGGAAGGGTCTTAAATACATTCTTTCTAATGGCCAGCAGGGGGCAGCTCCATTGGTTGCAAGAAAGAAATCCAACAGCATTGAGCCTTATGGAGAAATGAGCCAACTTCTGACTTGATTTATGAGCGCAGTAAACAGTTTCCTGATGAGTTTTTGGTCTGAATCTCTAGTTTCAGTCTTCTTCCATACAGCATGATGTTCATTTAGTAAATGATGTTCTCATTTAGAGTAAAATAGACCATAAAACAGGGTATGCTTTTAGCGCAATGCATTTCTGTCACTGCTTTGATTATTTCTTGCATCAAATCTTTTCACAAATATATTTTAGTGTACTGTTCATCAGGAATACAAGGACATTTCCTGCTGGATGAGTCAAAACTGTAAAGCTCAACTTGCAGTACATCACCACTGCTGGCTCCAGAAAACCCAAAATGGTAATGGCCATTATGCCGAACTCGATGCTTCAAAATGGTACCCCACAAACCAATGGATGATGTCACAATAGGTTCACATTTGATGCTCATCTGTGGATTTGATAGCCTTTATCTTACTCTGCATTAGGTATAGCAGTCAAAGCTGTCCTCAACACTAAAACCAAAGTAAGTGAGTCTCAGGTCTTGGCTCTGAAATTAAAGCTTCAACAATGGAATTATAACCTCCAACGCCAATGTGTGAACCCAATCCAGTACTTTCTTGTGAATTCTGTTTCCTCTAATGTAACATTACGAGAAGGGAGAATGAGTTTTTACAGGTTGTAGAAATATGCAACCTGTGCAAGTAGCTGCAAGCAAACGCTGATTCGGAATCATGCCAAAATGTTTGGGAGCCACTCAGTGAGATACGTAATGAGTCCTAATTCAGTGTGAACTGCAGACTGTAGAAGGCATATCTTACACAACTGAGCAAACATTGTGATAAAAAAACAAACAGACATTTTTAATCAGTTCTACTACTGCTGTCTTTTTATGGATTATAATTCTAGTTTCTCCATCAGTGAAAATCTTATTAACTATTGGATGGATTGTAGATACCTTTTTAATGATTTTAAAGGTGGAAATAATACTTTTTTGGCGAAAAAAAAACACATCAGACAAGCAGGCTATTTGTAAAATGTCTTAATTGTTGCCTGGGCACTTGTGGTTTTTGTCTACACGGGTACCCTTACATCACCTACTGGTAAGTCAAGGTACGCACCCATAAACACCCGCGTCTATTTGGGACTTTGCTTTTATTAGAAGTTTTACAGGATGTATGTGGACAGTTGACAGTGTTCATTTAGAGATAAATACCAATGCTTATCACTGTTAAAAGGTTTCTAAGCCATGTTTGGACTTTATCTATCTATGGGATAACCCCTTTTGTTTTGAGGGAGAACTTTTCCGCTGGAGCCACCCTGTGGACAAACTGAAACATTAAAGATGCCAGATGTTTTAAAAAGCAGGAGTTTTGCATTGAAGGACATATTTCCCCAGCTCAGTCACCCGTTCCTGTAGTTATATGGGCTATTAGGTTTTATTTAGTGTCCAAGTTGTTTAAAGGCAGAGACTCTGGTGTTGTCTTGTGATTTAAAGCTGCAGCAAACCCTAATAGGCCTCAGATGTCTGGCTGTGACACGCGACGGACAGAAAGCAGGCAGCAGAGATTAGGACTGACGAAGCGATGGATAGTGGAGAAAGAAAGATGGAGAGAGTAGAAAGAGGGAATGGAAATGTACGAGAAAGTCATCCAGGAAAGTAGAGGAGATGTTGACAGAGGGGGTGCTCAGAGATTCCTTTGAGGCCCTCAAGACCCTACTCTAAAAGTATTTATTCAACTTGATGGAGGTGACATCTGCCCAGGAGTCAGCAAGCACAAAAATGTCAGTATTTTACCTTGCTGTTCCCCGTGACAGAAATGAGTGGATTTCTGACTTGGTCAGTTTAAGTAGAAACACTTCTCTCCTTAGGGGACAGGCCTTAAACATTTTATCCCCATCTCTTTTGACTTCGATGTGGCATTTTAGGATTTTCATTTTAACTTGTCAGTACTTGAGCTAATGTCATTGACAAGCCTTAAGATTTCTCAACACTCGAGTGGTTCCTTTAACAAGACTAATGGGCGTATTTGTACAAATTACCGTCGGGAACACCAAATATTGAGTCAATTTTAGGCAATTTTTCAATTTAGCAAGAGATTTTGGAGGTAAGTTTAGCTAATTTGCATAAATTGCAGCTAAATAAAACCTGCTGCTGGCCCGATGTCTGGAAAGTGTTTTCTGCTGTTACTGCTTGAGAAGAAGACATTTTTTGGGAGTGTATTCATCCCTGCAACAAGAAGGCTGCATGAGGAAATATTAAATAAAAGCATGATTCATTGACTTTTTGTTAAACTATGACTCCTCTTGCACTGAAGCTGCTGTTAGTCATTAAATTCTCTTTCTGCCTCTGTCACTGCTACACTTCAGTTGCCATTCCCTCCTATATTCCTCTGAAAAGGAAACCTTACAACTCATATTGCATCCATTTTTACTCAAAGAAGCCCCAAATGAAAATTTGTGTTAACTTGCCATCATTTGCTAAATAACATGAAACAAAGAATACAGCCGAGGCTGATGGGAAAGCCAAGTATTAGGCCATAAACCAAAGAACTTGACACATTAAACTGTTGACCTGATGATGGTGCTAGATGAAAAGCCAGAGGATCATCAAACAGGAATTCTGGAGGTTTCAACAGGTTGAATTCAAGACTCTTAAAGACCATTATGAATCCAATTTCAGACCTATTTTACACCCATGCTGGCAAAGAAATGTCAGTTTTGTTGTAGCTGTTACAGCATGATGCAAATCATGACAAAACAAAACAATCAAAGCAAATTGTTACAAAAAAATAAAATTTTTAAGATCTGCCAAATCATATTTAAGACAATTATTGGAGTTTAGACATTTTAGGACCCTGCGGACACCCTGACCGAAGTTTTACAAATCGTCCCGAGGGGGGGCCATGAATGTTGACAAACCAAGTTTCATAGCAATCCATCAAATATTTGCCAAGAGAATTACTTGGAGGTGGACTTGGGAGGTGCTTGAGTAAACCCAATCATCGAAGTCATCAGGATGCATTGTCTGAGAACCACCAGTTTTCTATTATGTTTATTTTACTGGCCGGGTGATAATTGTGACCTGATGCTGGCGATAATAGAACTGGGGATCATGAAAGAAGTCCCTATGGCTTTCACACAGCAGTCCATTGAATGCATTCCTTAGGGAATAACTTGCAACTACTGCCACTAAGATCCCAAGCAATGACAAGGGCAACTAGAATTGTTTAAATGTTAGCTCAGGTAAGAATGTTTCCTCAGTCTTTACAGACTGCAGAAAGACTGCACACTTACAATTTCAACAATTTAAAAACAAGATGTTACATGTATGTCTTTTAGCCTCAGTAACTAGCAGCACATCACCAATATGGGAGAAAATTCTTGATATTTTATCTTATTTGAACCCTAACTGAAACTACAGTCAGATATTGAATGTGGGTTTACCTTGATGCTGATGGATCAACATCAGAGTTGTGGCTAGGACCCAAAAGTAAGTCAAGTCCATCCTGCTTGCCTCCTCAGCGTCCAGGTGAGAAATCTGTGTCACGTAAAATTCCTCACAGCAGCTTCTTTCTTCCAGTAATAAAAAGTGTCAGAGAACAGCCCAAAGACATTTACAATGCACGAGGAACAGGAAGGGGCCCTGCTGAATCAAACACCTGACCACACACAGCTTATATGAAGGTTCCCAGTGAACACTCAAAAAAAGATGAAGTTCTTCGAGTTTTACACCAAAAATTTCCACTTGATCCAGTCAGGTAAATGTTGAAATCTGCCACCCAGGTGCTGAAGTAGCCCTGGTTCAGGGCTGTGTCCTGAGGCTGCTGTGGTCTCCAGGCGGAGGGAGGATAATGTGACCGATTGGGAGCCCAGCTGTATCATAACAGATGGGGAGAAGTGAACGGCAGGAGAGAAGGGAGAAGAAGGAGGAGGAGGAGGAGGAGGTTACACGGGGGAGGTTGGATCTGCAGTAAGACACCTCCACAGCTTGAACATCATTAATCACAGCCTCCTCCGCCCGCCGCGGACCTGTGTGTGCTTGGTCTCTCACTGTGGTCCCACTCGCATTGGCCATGTCTCAATGAGTTGTTCTCTGCTTTTTCTATTCTCCTTGTAATCTTAAAACTCCCCCTCCTCCCCCCTGGGATCTCCGTGCAGATGCACCACACATGGGGAACAGCCCAGGTCTGTTTTGTATGTACACATCTTTAACCGTGTGTGTTTGAGGCAACATATGTACAAATGTTATCCTGTCACTGCAGAAAATATTGGTTCAGCACCAACCCCACGACCCCACCAACAACTGTGAGGCTAAAAGTGATGAACTCAGATAGACTGAGCGTGGCCTATTAGAAGTAAATGACTGTTGTAAAATCTGTTATTTAGAAAGAAGGCTCTGGTGGGTCCCTGATGCCCGTATGTAAAAAAGAAAAAAGAAAACTGGCACAAAAGTGCACTGTTGGATGCTCCTATGGTAGGTAAAACATGATTATGTGCCCTCTCTGGTGCCATTCAGAAGAGAAAACGCAATACAGTACCCGATTAATGCATCACCACTTCCTGCGTGTTGGTGCCCTTATTTATTTATTTTTTTGCCCCTGCACCTCAAATTCGTCACTGAAAGAAGGTTAAATGCTTTGTTTCCAAATTAGTGTTCCTGTAACAAAACTGAAATTAGATTTCATCCCTGCTTAAAAGTGCAGTAACTAAGTGTGACAGGTACTGGGCTCAGTGCTTACGGCAAGAATTTGGAGATTAAAACCAAAAAGGGTCTCGACAGTTTATTGACCTGCTGAAGTCTCGGATGGATATTCTGGGACCCTGAAAGGATTTGTAACAGAGTGATCCTCTGATTTCTGCCTTTCCTCAAACCTGTACATCATACAGTATACTAACAGGCAAAAATGTTATTGAATTTACTTGGATGATTTAGAACTTTTAAAATTTGGAATCTGGATAACTCGAAACACATTTAAAATTTTTTAGCATGACTAATGCTGAGTAACAGAGGCAGAGTCTGAATGGCTGTTCTGTTAACACACTGGTTGTGGTTTCTGTGGGAAGATTAGATTTTGTCCTAACCAGCAGAGATCGGAATTATGGCTCTTTTCAGTGAGCCATATCATTTCACTCAACTCAACAATACGCTCCCAAATGGCTCTTCATTTAGTACCACTTCTGGCTTTTATAATTCAGCCCAATGCAGCAATGTCAGAATACCATAGTTTTACAATATTCTTGGTTTAAAAAGCGTCAATTATATAAACATATCAAACACTATCACACATGTGTATTGAACATTTTCTTTGAATTGTTATATAGTCTCACCATACTGGGGTGTAATGTTATTACCAAAGTCAGATGTATGTACATTCAGAGCTTTTGTGCACCAAACGGCATTAAATTATCTACAACATATTCTCATTACCCCCGGACAACTTAAGACGATGATCTCAAATCAGTTCACCTCAGTGTACAATTGTTTTCACTGAATATAATAATAATAATAATAATATCAACAACAACAACAATTATTAATATTATTATTATTATCCAGCTAAGCTTATAGTTGAAAGAGAATGTAAACAGTTGAGAATTCGAAGAATTCAGTGAATATCTGCTAACGGTCAGCTAGGAGCTAGCGGCTACTTGTTATTGGAGCCATTTTAACCAGGACAACCACATTTTGTCTTTTTCCCTTGATAGTACTGCATCTAGAATGGAAGAATAGAATTAGGATACATAGTTACAGATTCTCCATTTTAATTGTGTTTATTGTTGTTATTGTACACATTTTTTTATGTCATGTGAAATTAAATCAAGAGTCTACACGGGGTATTTTATTGTGACAACTGACATGATTCTCTCTGCTGTTTCTGTGCCTGACTTCCTGCGAAACCAGAACAAATGCGATCAGCTCTATCGGTGTGTGACAAAACGCGGCGTTATTTGACCACCTTGGGTTTATCACGCACTGGTATGGATGGGTATGTTGGACAGCAGAACAAAAGCTCAAAAAGATGACATAAAAAATGTGTTGTCAACTGTGACTGCAGAAGTTGGGACATTTCTGCGTAATATTTCTGTCCACCATCTATCATTCTAGCCCTCAAAAGGGTGTTTTCAGCTTCTACTACTTTGGCAGAGGATACTCTCGGGGTATTTGTTTTGGACTCAGTGGCTGAGGAGTTGCCTGCAGTCTTTAAGAGTCTATTCTGAGGTCATCTGGAATCGAGCAGAAAAATGACAGAACCACAAAAGGTGGACCCCTGTTTCTGTCTGTCTTTTTTTTAATCTTTTTTTGGGCCCAGTTTAGGGAAGTCTTTCTGTCAGTCCAACCAAGGAGAAGCTGTTGCGGTAAACCAGATTCATAAAGAGATTAACGAGGACAATCCAAACATCTGGGAGGCAGATACTATGGTGAGCTCCAGAAAGAGCCTTTTTTGGTTGGGTTTCCCCAAAATTGCTCCACCAGATCTCGTGAAATTTTCTGAAATGAGCTCGGCGTCCTGAAATGTAAATAGCAAGCTGTGTGCAGAGGAAGTGAGTTTAACCACTGTGAAAGGACAGCAGACACAGGCAGCAGCTTATATGGGAACAACATTTTGCCTTCTGTACTTTACATTCTTAAAACTCAGGTTCAATTCAGTCTTTAAAGAAGTGGAACTTTATATAATTTAATCTTAGCTGCAACGTTTCACTAACCTAAACTAAATTCTTTCAAAGGAATAGTTCAATTCAATAATTCTAAACATGTGCACATAGAAACTACTGCATGGTTACATTTACAGTAAGATTGTGTGGTTGTTACAAATAAACTATGATTAAGGTATGGTTAGTGTCACTAAAACGGGAAAGATGGTGGTTACTCTTAATAAAAAGGCAAACCTTAATTCCAGGTCTGTGTCGGGAAGCAAGATCCCGCAGAAAGCCAGATACATCCAACGTTTTGAGCCCTGTTATTGCGTCCGAAGATTTTCTGTGAAGAAATAGTTACAATATGTAAGTCCCTCTTTTTGTTTACAGATTAAAACTAATGAGATACATGTTAATGTGCAAGCTCCAGCCTTTGCAGTACTCGATTCTCGGCTCAGATCAGCTGTTACTGCTTTTAAATCTCGTCATAAAACTTATTTTTACTGATTGTCCCAGACCAACCTTCTGCTTTTATTTCTTTTTACAGTAGTTTTTGTATTTTATATACATATATATTGGTATGCATGTATGTATCTGCTCCATCTTCTCTCGCACCATCAGTATCTGATCTAATTTCTTTGCGTTTTCAGCTCCATTGTATCAAGTTGAATATCAACACTGGCTCATGTGATTGTGTTTGTTGCTTTCTTCTTCTGTAAAGTTTTACTCCAGTTGACAGTTTCTGAGTGCATTCAAAATGGGAATATTGTATATAAATTGTGGTTTATCCAATTTCTTATTGGACATATTAGAGTATAATTATTTTAGGAATGGTGCATGAACAAAACAAACTAACGTACCCCCTTTCAGTATTCCAAAGTACCCCTAGGGTATTATTAACATTACTATTGACGGCAGTAAGCTACAAAGAATAATTAAAATAACAACCAATGGGAGCCAGAGGAACATGATTTTTTCCATACACAGATCATCATGTACTGTTTTCCGGATATAGTGAAAGCTTCAGCAAGCCCAACACTGTATGGCACAAAAAAGTTCCAAAAAAGGGAAAACAAGTGACAAAATGGCTCTTCCAGGTTTATTTATACTTGCAGTAATCATACTTGACATTTGTGCATGTCTTGAATTTAACTCTAAGAATGTGGACAATGCACACTGAATGTAGTGAAAATACAGCCGCTGTCACGTCTCTCAGGGCCCTGAGTTAGCTGTCAATGAGTGCATAACACTTTCATTTTATTTGCCGGGCGCAAATAAACTGTTTAAAAAGTCTGTTTGTGTGAATGTTTGTGCAAGTGTCTGCACGTCTCGGCTGTTTGACTTCTCATGAGGTCTTCAGGCGGGATAATTAGAGAGCAAGAAGGAAACTGGAAACAACAGCCTGTCGCGCTCCCATTGCCCGGAGATACGGCGCAATTATAGAGGAGGGGGTGAGATAATGGGGGAGAGGGTGGAGAAGGGGAGGAGGGGATGGGAGGAGAAGGGGAGGGCAATGAGTAGAGTTATAATGTCAGTGAGAAGAGAGAAAAGAAAACAGTAAGAGAGAACAAATGAATAAGGGAACCTGACACAGCCAACAAATCAACTCTATGATGTGTTAATAGCAAGTCAGAATGTGTCAGAACATACAGAGACAAAGAAACTGAAATTTAGATTTATATTTGAGTTGGAGCGCAGCCCGACCCACATCAAAAACAGTCAGAAGTATGTATAGATTGCTTAACCGTGTACCGGAAAGCTCAAATATAAAATAGGGTTGATCAAAAACAGCAGGCAGCGGTTTTCATTCCCCCCTCGGTCAGTGGTTTCACTCCGCGGAGCCGACATGTCGTACTTGCATGTTTCACTTTACAGGAACTTGAGAACATGTAGCAAACACATAAATTCAAATGAAGACGTGCAGAGTGAGAAGAAAAGATATGACTGAAAATCCACATCACCACCCAATTAAGGTCAGTCTGTCCATCACACCGGTGCGGACTGGAATACCTCAAAACGTTGGATAGATTAACTATTAGGCATTCCTGATCCCCAGAGGATGAATCCATGACTTTGATGATACCCTGACTTTTCATCAGTTTCTCAGGGTTTTTACACCTCATAAAACATCAGGCGTTCCACCATTATGATGAAGTTAAAATACAACAGCTGTGTTGTTAAATAAACAGACATAAATGATCCAGAACTGCTCCAAAAATTCACACTTTCTTTGTAAGAACAAAAAGAAAAGTTGGTTATTAATCAGGACACATTTAAGCTTCATTCCAATGTTATTTGTCCATTACAAAGACAAAGAAATGTGCCAAAGGCTGGGTTGCAGATGCAAGCAACTAGAATGAGTTTCCTCAGGGCGTTGGTTCCAAAATGGTTCCTGCTGGGACTCCCTGTTGTGGACGCAGATACCCC